ATGTATATATGTATATACATATATATGTATATATGTATATATACATATGTTAGTATGCGTTGTGTGTTTGGAACCCCACCATATCGTGACAAACCCGAAAACCAATTATAACGTTTATTTTTAATCTAAATGTTAACAGAAATGGTTTTAAGAAGAAAAGGCTACTCGTAAAAATGTGCTAATAATCTCGTAAATTTGCAACTAAAGAAGGACAACATCGCGACGCCATGGAATATATAATAGAATGCGAAAAAATAAGCTTCCTCACGATCACAAATATTGGGACTGAAATGTTCAAAGTAAACCAATTACTCAAGAAAAAAAGATCACTGTGGAGAAAAAGAAAAAACTCTAGAAAGCGAGATTCGAAAGTGAACTGTGCCTCGGCGTTGTTATCGGGCTCGCTCTCGTGGGCCAAACTGATAGGAACTCTCGGCCGTCTTTCATCTTTTCGGCAGTCACACACTGCAAATGGTTTTAAATTATATACTCACAAATGAACACATTCTTTTGTAGTCTGTACACATTAAATTGATGATTATCGAAAGCTGGCGGAAGTGGCCAGCAATGATGAGGATGTTGAGCAGAAAGGAGAAAAGTTCAAAGTTGCCGTCATTCGAACTCTTTTCTTTCGAACTGATTAAATAATTGACATTTTATCTTGTTGATGAACTTAGATAAAACTGCCACAAAAAATTTCTGAAAAGAAAACATCAAAATCAAAGCCTTTATGACAGTTTAAAAGCATTCTACATTCTTTTTCGAGAAATTTCCAGGTCTCAGAAAAGATTACTTGACAAGTGCGGTAGTTTATTGAATCAAAGCACATAGTATATCTCTCCTAGGTCATCGTGTGGGTCGTAAAACTTACAAGTTGCAGGAGAGTTTTCCACATTGTAACTAGCTTTCTTCCACGACATTGACTATTGCAGCAATACTTTAGTGGAGGCTTAGCTCTCAGGCAAGTCTACCACTCTTTTTCGATCAGAATAATTGCATCAGCAAAGAGTGAACTCATTACTCTTCATGGTAATTTACCACCTTAGGAACAGTTCTTAGCCAAAGACGATGAAGCGCAGGTGACTTTTAGAAGTTAAACATCATGTTGAAAAGAAGGAAAGAGTTTTTCAGAATATTGAGAGCGCTACCATTGAAGCTGCATAAAGCACCTGATCCGATCTTCGAAGAACTTCTTGGAATCAGTCAACGTCCAAGTCATGGCAATATCACGTGTGATAGCTGCATGTGAAATATCCAATCTCACGTTTGCTTCACCTTCGAGAACGCTTTACTCACACACGTGTTAAGGAATGATGCATTATATTTGCTGAAAGGTGATTGAGTAACATGACACGGATTAGGGAGCTCTTTGCCACCTTGCCGAACTTTGCTCAAAGGATTAGAACATCGATAACGCGTGCCGCTTTGAGTGCCATGTGCGGTCGTCAGAGTTTAAAGCCTTGAGGTACGGTAGTTATGTGGAAGTTGTCGGTTAAAGAAGTAGGTGGCTATCAAAGTGGTTTGTCCAACAGAAGTTGAATCTAAGAGCGCTTATCGGAGTGAAGTATCGAAAAGTGGGCAAAATAACCTGAATTTACCTACACAACGTTAAAAACGTTCTGAAAGGAGGGTTTGTCGAGTTTATCTATGTTTCATTTGCTGGTTAGATGTGTTACTGTAATTTTATTTTTCACCAACTAAATCCAGTCAAATAGTACTTTACAAATTCGCTGAAGTATAGTTAGAAGCCTAGTAGTGTATTCATGAGCCAATATTTTACAACGATTTTTGGCGTAAGTGGCATACGCTTGGTTTTTTCTTGCATTGGGAACTATGAACAAGTGTACGCACTCGTTTTATTTTGCCTATTTAATGATAAATTAAAATTCAGATTATTAAATTGAACTTCCTAGAGATTCACATAGTTCAAAGTTACCGTTGAAAAAGTGAATTCACTGTTGTGCACTTTGCTCTGACTCATATACCATCACTTGCTCTGATCAATCACTGCTACAATGCTCCAAGCAAAACAAAGATGGTTCCTTCAAGCTAAGATATTAGTGAGTGCCACCGTCGTGCCGACCCCCTGCACACTGCCCTATCCTAACTGGTAAAAAAACTCGGTCATAATTACTCCCTGAAAGCTTTACCTTTCTAGGCAAAAGATCCTAAGAAAACTACTGAATTAATTTTTTAAAAACCTTTCCGAAGGACGTTGAATGATTTTCGTACACGGCGTACGAATTTCATTATTTACACAAATATTCTCTTTGTCAGAAAGAACTTCCAGTTCATCTATTATGTGATACTCCATAGTTTTCTCTACACGCTCATAAACTTTTTGCATACATATAACTCTTATGTACGAGGTAAACTCCGGTTCTTAAACGTAACGTTCTCTTCTCGTGAACAACGGATTGTGAAGAGCTTCTTAGAAATGAAATCTAGATTTGGTGTAGCCAAGATTGCGCTATCGATACTAGTATAGTTTAATGAAAAGCCATCCACAGATCCTAGCTATGCAAACAAAGCACCCTGAGTGTGAATCATAATTATTTTCGCTCCTACACCGCATTAGGAAGGCCTTTTTCAAAAACAAGTGTAGTTCTTAATTTTCCAAGATATAGGCCTTTGGATAATTACTGGAATTTCAGCAGAAGAAGCTTTGATCAACAAAGTGACTCATAAAATATCGAGGGTTGGAAGAAAATCACAATATCCGGAAGAGGACGAAGCCAATGCAAGTCATAGATAATCGGTGTATGTTCAAGGTTTTGAAAAAGCTACTCCTCAATTTGTGCTACATAGTCTTTGATCGCTTGCTAAGCCGAAAATTAAAATATTAGCTCATGAAAAACTACGTAAATCGAAAAATTGTTTTTACTTTGTTTCCTTGTTGTTTTGAACACCAACAATCACCTATTTGAAGATCGTGTTCATTGCTGATAGCTGATTTTTTTGCACTTAGATAGTTGTTCTCTCCCTATCTGCAGTGGCCGGTCGGCAACATGAAAAGATTCGCAGTATCAGCGGTGTCGACAAGCGTGCTATCAGTGACCGACGTGATGTTGGCCGAGCCGTAGCGCCTTTTGCCGGGGATTATCGCGCCCAGTCACCATCCGTTCTTCCGGCACCATCGCCAGTTGACATCGCCGTAGAAGCGATCTTGGCTAAAGAATCCCTTGTTTAGGTTCCTTTACGCTGGGAATATTCGACCAGAAGTGTGATACAATCCTCAAATTCACCTTATCGCGATGACCTATTTTCAGATGGTCTGTTTTGTGTGCAGCTTTCCCCTAGTAACGTTATATTTTTATCCTAAATGTAAAAGAAATGTTTACCGTTTCTCTGATATTTTTGAAATAAAAGCTTACATATTCGCCGTTTGTAAATAGCATTGAAATCAAATCGTTCACTGTTGGGGTAAATACCTTTAAACTCGATATATTTCAACGCCGCTTGAATATTCTGACAGTAACACGACAATGTAAAATGTTCGTCGACGATTCCTTTATCTAATGCGGATCTCGCCCGAGAGAGATTGGCGACTAATGACACTGTACAAGTGACGAGGCTGTAGGGCCGAAACACATGTATTTACTCCATAGGTGTTGTAGTAGACCTCATAAAAGGCTTAAAATATACTGTCAGGATGTTGAGGAAACATACTTATCATCAGGGCCATTCTCAATGAATCTGTTACTTCGTGCGTATATTCGCAGCTGTTCAATAGCAAACAGTGCCTTGAATCGATTCTAACTCATAAGTGCTAAGTAGTAACACCGTAATTCTTCATTGAGCTAACATATCTCAACTCATAGTGAAAATTTTCAGGGAATTAAGGACATAGGATTTATGAATCCATGGTAATAGGACAGAACTAAGATAGTTATAGATAGAAATATCAGTTGCTAACCTACTAAGATAGAATCATAGCTCCTGGAGCGTATGTTATCGTTTCTCTGTCGAACCTCATGTAGTAAACAAGACAGTCGAAAATTCGAGGTGTCATCCATGCCGTTCATGTGTATTGTTTCGAATCCGCCAAAATATTTAGAATTTCCTTAAACCTGATATCCTTCAAAGATGAATTCAAACAGAAATGTTGCGTCTTATAAAAAATATGTCCAACTTATTTGAAAAACACAAGGACAGGCGTCTTCTAGAACTCTCCGCGTTTTTGTAGGCAGTGGTTGCCGAAAAGAGACGTTGTCGTGCCCTCGCAGTGCTATTTTTTATCTGTGTTACAAGAATGTAATTAGAATTACATCTGAAGGTGATGAAAATAGGAAAAAATATCAGTCAGCAAGTAAACATGATTGCTATGAGGAAAGATGTTGTTTACGAAAATCATTCAAAGATCCATTGACTAGCATCGATTGCAGAAACACCTCTGAATTTCAAAGCACTACGTCAACCTTAGTAAACGTTACCAAATTATTTATTCAGGGACTGTGAGGCGCTATTGAGAGGGTTCTTGCATTATCTGTACCATTTCTAACATTCGGAACCTTGAATATTCAAGTATTCAGTGATTATGAGCTCATCATCTGCTCCGGCAAACGACTGCGCTTTAAGTCAGTCATTCTTTTCAGGGAAGTGAATTGCAAAAGTAGAAAACCACTTTACTTGATTCAAGCCAGGCGCACTATTAGAAGCCGTCCCTCCTTTTTTGATAGGGGTTGAAGCTGTCTCCCAAAGTATGGATTTTGCTGGTTAGTGATCAGAGATGTCCGGCCATAGACTTCAGATCTCTGGATGATTGCGCCTTTTAGAATAGGCAAGCCGCCCCTTCTTCTGGTCGAAAACTGACAACAGACTGCACTGTGGAGAAAAAACAATAACTCAGAAATTCACACGCTTCTGGAAGGCATTATATGTGACAGATAGCAATTAATCACATAATCGATTTTTTAAAATTGCTTCTTACTTAACCGTTTCCAGAGGTGGTATGATGTTATAGAGATAACCGCCGATGTGGAGTGATGTGCGAAACTCCTTGCGTCAGTTTGGACTCGAACCCACATTTCACCCCATCAGAGGTGCGTGTTCGAACCATTGCACTACCAACGCCTGTTTTGACACCACTCTTTTTTGCGAGTATATTTGATTCATAATGAAAATGCAAGATGCATGACTGTGAGTGTGATAAATGCTAGACACTTGCTCGTTCACTTATCTGAATTCATGCTGACCGAGACACATCTGAAGCGTGATTAGTAAGTTTCATATGTTTCTTGTATAATTTTACCTTCCCTTAAGCGCTACTTTTTTGAGGCATCGCCTCTCCAAATTTTTATTGGATCTTAGTCTTCAAATATTATTGGCAAGAATGTCATCAGGACTAAATATTATTATTAAATGGCATTCAGTATATTTTCTTGATGAGCGAAAATGAGATTGTTTACAGCAAAAATTAATTCAGTCCAGCATTTGCCGACATTTCGGTGGTATTGTCTTATATAAAGTCTGGAAAGCGTAAACTGATAGGCCATTTTCATCTAAAGTTTGAGTGACATTGAGCATTTGCGCCCTCGATACTCAAGAGATTTTGATAAAGGACGTCCAGCAAGAGAGGTGATATGATAGAAAAAAGTGCTCATTAGTGCTGAAGACTGCAATTAAGTGAATAAGCTTATAAAATCTCAAAAATTAGCTTGTGCAGAGGATATTAAAGTAGTTGACTTAACTTTTTAGGAATGAATGTTTGGCGAGCTCTGAATTTTTAGGAGCAGAGCTACAGATTGTTGTAAAATTGTGAGCAGGATGTGCGCAAATGAAATTACTTTTCTACATTCAAGAAACAACAAGTGTAAATACTGTGGCTAGCTGTTGGCTTACACAGCAAATCAACAATAAACGAAATCTCTTGGTATTTCTCAAAATAAACTGGTGAAAGAAACATAATGGAAGGCAAATGGCGATAATGATAAAATAAAAATTACCTTCAGTTTTTCTCACCTAATGTAGCTTTTCTAAACTGGGACGATTATGAAAAAGAGCTCTATAAAGTTGAAGTACGATTCTTGCGAGGCTTCAATGGACAGTGCCACTTGAGTGAGGAAAACGAGCTCCATTCTCCTTCTGTTAGGATTATTGACCCTAGGAGATAAAATTCACATTTTGATTGTTTTTATTCACTCATATCGTCATCGTAGTTTCATTGGTAAAGTATAGTGCCCTTCACCTACAGGGTCGCTTTACTAATTACACAGGAAATGAAATAGAAGACGGTTACACTCGGTGTACTTAGAGGCAAAGAGACGCGCTGGTTAATATGATGAGAAATTATGCCTGAAGTGGTGGTGGGTCTACTTTGGAAGCTGAATAATCTGAATGCAAAACAGTCACTTGAGAAGCGAATAAGGTGATCGTATACACTGCCGTCAGAAGCGACCTGGTTGACCCTTATAGTTGCTGACGAGACCCTTATAGTCGCTGACGAGATCACGGTGAATTCTATCGCATACTTGAAAATCTCTTGGAGAACAAAGCAAAATCGCTAATAGCAGCACCGACAGTGTAAAATACGGTGCAAAGACTCACCGAATTGACCTAGGAATCTATCTGAGAAGTACCACTGTGTTTGTTTTGTGTCCAGTCTCTTCTAAATTGAAGTTTTTGAAAGAGTCCATTGAAATTGTATTAATGTGTGTTAAAAGGTTAGCGTACATCTACATATTAGACACTATCTGAAGATCCAAAATTTGAAAACCGGACTGGACAGATGAAGTACAGTTGGATTAGACGTAGACTCATTTTTTCTCTCTAGATGTCATAGATTAACAGTATTTATGAACATGAAGTGATGGAAGCGCTTCAATCAAGCATGTAAATCCCAAGTCATCGATTTTTTGAAGTTTCATTCTACAGAAAGCGAAAGACAGCTGGAAACTGATAAAGGGATAAGAAAGTATAGAATTTCGAATCGTTGGTCTGTCCTCGGAGACACCCTATGCGGACTTCTTATGTTATTGTTGTGTTGGTGGTTGGCATTTATCGAGGATTATTGTGAATGGCCTAATTCGCACCTGCGTTTCACATTAATCATATAATAACATGGATTAGGATTACTGTAAGAAATTTTTAGAGATTTGAAGGCTTCAATTTTTTTATTCATATCGTCGCATTTCCGTGAGCAGCAAAAATGATTTAGCAGCTTCAAGCTGTCAGTGGAGCAAAGTGCTCATCAATTTTAATCCTTATCGTTTTTTCAAGTGTTTCGAGACCGCTCTATTACTTCGATCTACCTAGTAATCATTTTTTAAGCCATGTATGTGGTCTGTTATGGGCACTTATACAGCCCAATACACGTGTTCAGCTTTCAGCCTCGTCAGTTGGGCAGTGCCAATCGTCTTAGTCAATCTTTTCGGGGGAGCATAAATGGCTCAATAAGGATCTATCAGCTGTATTGAAATTTATTTCATTTGGTAATGGTGGACCTATTTAATTTCGACATCTTGAATTACAAAATTGTTTGCCGAGACAACCTTTAACAATTTCAATAGCGCACCATATTTACTCAATGAATAAGAAAATCTCTATTCATTTCTTGAAGTGGAGAGTTGTGCATAGGTTTGGCCCTGATTATAAAAATTTCGGAAAGCTTTCTTTCTTATAAAATAATGCTGGCATAGTGCTTATCGAAACTAAGGAGACGTGAAGCAGGATTGCACATTATCAGTATTCATTCCTTAACAAGACCCTAAAATATTTCAGAAATAATTAGTTGTGCCTCGCTCAAGATGAACATTAAATCATGGTAAATACCCCGCCATATCACCGTTCATCAAGAACACCTACAGGATTGCGGAGGGCCACCGTACCCAGATTTCGTGTGAGAGTCAGTCTCATAATACGTATCTCTCACCTAAATGCAAATAATCTTGATAATGCTGCCTTGCATGGCTCAAAGCGTGCTGGAGCGGTTTTCTGTTATCCATAAGTTCTTCGTTCGGTATTTTTACTCTACGGCAGTACAAAAAGAAATACCATTACTTCAAATCATTTGAAACTATCTCGTTAATAGCTTTAGTGCGTAGCGCTCTAGGGATCAATACGCAGCTTATCCGGAGAATTTTTGGGCGCTTATCTCTGAGACTGCCAAAAATGCTAATGTGTTCAACCATATTCTCGAATTTTCAGCAGTTCAAATAATCTGCAATTATAAGATTTTCGACAGTTGTTGGGAAACGTACTCAGCTGTGAATGCGTGAGCAACGAAAGACCATAGACGAAGCGTACATCATAACAGTAAATGTAGAAACTTTTCAAATTTCAAGAAATTTTAGTGTTCTATCAAGAAACAATTTTCTTAAGTGCTGTCTCTGATTATAATTGAAAAAACTTTTTGTTGCCTTAGATATATGCGTTCATAGAGTGCCCGGGATGTTACCGTGTCTAGGCGACCACCGTAATCCGATTATAGGGTGTGGACAGAGAATTGGACAGATCAATCAGACGGTATGTCGGGCGGCGTGCACGGCTTGACAAAGACGTGTCATAAAGATGAAAATCTCGGCACGCCACGAATCGCTGTAGTAAACGCCATGCTCAGTAACTATTCTTTCAATAGCGGTCTATTCACAAGCGATTGATTTGACGAGATGATAAAGTCAACACGGAGCGCAGACGCCGAAATTTGAACCGAAAACTGACTGATGGCTACCGTCCATGAAGAAAAGAAAACTGTAGCGAAATATGGCGAGGAAAAAACGAAAAACCGGTGGAATTGACAGTGGCCAAAAGCCTAAGAGAGAGATGGCGACAGTATGGAGCGATGAGAATTAAAGACAAGAAAGCAGCAAGAAAGGAAACGAAGAGCTCCAAGTTTTGCTTTAGCAAACAAGATAACTTAGCTCCACAGTCCTGATTAAATCATTTATCTGAGTGTTCCTGGAATAATAAGCCCATATTTGTCTGATTAATTCATTATTTAGGTCACCCTAGGTATTATTAACAGGATCATAAACAATTTTCTTGAAGATGGCGAAGGAAAGCCGACAGAATCTGCACTATATTGAGAATTTATGAAATGATGTGACAAAATTTGACATTTTAACACATATTACACACTGATATTAGTGACTAATACAACAAGAGGAGAATCGCTAAGAAGAATGAAATAGTACATCAACAATAACAAGATCAAGCAGGTATAATTATGTTAGCCTAAGAGTGATCATCACCTCAGAGGATGAAAGGTATGAGTGGGTCTGAGTAACTGCAGTTTAGTACTAGGAAAACGATCGTAATAAACCCTAATTAGAATGGCAGAAAATGCCAGTGATACCAGTTCTAGAGAGAGCGCGATATTGCCACCAAAAGTAGACCGTCATGACTTTCACTCCCTCATAGTCTTGATCTTTGCTAGTTTGAGCGTTCATTATTTGTTTCTATAGAATCGTTTAAAGAAAAAGATTCTATTTGAAACAACCCAGACTGTATTAAAAAAAGACCTATGAAATTTCACGAGGCAGTGACATGATCGCCCACAGAGCAGTGGAAACGGGATGAAGTTACGGTTAGCTCACTTTCTGTGAGACACTATTGTCTTATATTATTTCACAGCTTCTTCAAACTATTCGACCAACGATCCGGTGAAAGATTTGAATGGAATCACTGATCCTGCGATTCTATTGTTTTTTGTACTACAGTTTTTAGCAGAGCAACGCAGATGTGAAGATCGGGAAGGTGGTACGGATAGCGTTGTCGGTTTCCGGTATCGGTCGGAATTCGCACGTAAGAGAGCGGCATTTGTCTTGCTGACATATGTTGTCGGTTTGTGTGTGCCTGTGTGTCATAAAGTCGTGTCGTGTCGGCTTACATCAGAGAGTCCGTTTTAATTGGACAGAAACACTTGAAAGTTGCCTCCTCTTCTCAATACCTCTTTCTCCAGACGCACACATGGCCACCCGTGCACCAATCGGCTTGCACACCATTCGAAATGGAGTAATGCGACGATAGCGGAGACGCTCGAGGATGAAACAGCGAGCAATAGAGTGGAAGGGACGAAGGAAGACATACGGGTGTCTAATAAGACCTTGTTCTCTAAAAAAAAGAGTAATATATTT